TCTGTGTAGTCTGACATGGTGGTTGTGAGAGTGGTCCAGCATTTCTGTGTTCTCAAATAAAATACTGTGTCCGGGTTGGTTCATCAGGTGCTCTGCTATGGCTGAAGTAGTCTGTAGTGCCTTTCATGTTCCTTGATTCGTGTCTGGGCAATGCTGCTGCGTTTGGTGGTCCCTATGTAGACTTGTCCACAGCTGCATGGTACACGGTAGACTCCTGCAGAGGTGAGAGGATCCCTCTTGTCCCTTGCTGAACGTAGCATTTGTTGGATTTTCTTGGTGGGTCTGTAGATAGTTTGTATGTTGTGTTTCCTCATCAGCTTCCCTATGTGGTCAGTGGTTCTCTTGATGTATGGCAGGAACACTTTTCCTCTGGGTGGATCTTCATCTTTATTCTCGTGGCTTGTTTTGGAACCTTTGTCCTAGTTCCAACAGACCTCACTACCTCTGAGGATGCCTGCCATAGATGCAGGTGAAACGTCAGGAGAGAATGCCTCTAGACCATGGCCATATAGCCCGAAAAAAACCTACAACAACTCACTTATTGTTGTTGTTTGTTAGTTCAGTTGCTTCCGACTCTTCGTGACCTCATGGAACAGCCCATGTCAGAGCTCCCTTTCGGCCGTCACCACCCCAGGCTCCTTCAGAGTCAAGCCAGTCACTTCAAGAATACCATCCATCCATCTTGCCCTTGGTCGGCCCCTCTTTCTTTTGCCTTCCATTTTCCCCAGCATCATTGTCTTCTCCAAGCTTATAAATAGGGCTTATTATGTTCTCATTTTTGGAAGGAATTTTGCCTAAGTCCATATGAATTAAACAGGGACATTAAAGCATCCAAATAGACATTTACTATGCCTCATTAATGCAGGTCCCAGCATAGCCTGTATTGGGATTTGCTACATAGGACTACATAGGAGAAAGGCAGGGAGTTTCAGAAAAACATCTACTTCTGCTTCATTGACTATTCTAAAGCCTTTGACTGTGTGGATCATAATAAACTGTGGCAAGTTCTTGGTGGGATGGGCATCCCAAGCCACCTTGTCTCTCTCCTGAGGAATCTGTACAAGGACCAAGTCGCAACAGTCAGAACTGACCACGGAACAACAGACTGGTTCAAGATTGGGAAAGGCGTACGGCAAGGCTGCATACTCTCACCCAACCTTTTTAACTTGTATGCAGAACACATCATGCGATGTGCGGGGCTGGATGAATGCAAAGCTGGGGTGAAAATTGCTGGAAGAAACATTAACAACCTCAGATATGCAGATGACACCACTCTGATGGCCGAAAGCAAGGAGGAGCTGAAGAGCCTTCTAATCAAGGTGAAAGAAGAAAGCGCAAAATGCAGGTTGCAGCTAAACATCAAAAAAACCAAGATTATGGCAACAAGAATGATTGACAACTGGAAAATAGAGGGGACAGACTTTGTATTTCTAGGTGCAAAGATTACTGCAGATGCAGACTGTAGCCAGGAAATCAGAAGACACTTACTTCTTGGGAGGAGAGCAATGTCCAATCTCGATAAAATAGTAAAGAGTAGAGACATCAGACTGGCAACAAAGATCCGCCTAGTCAAAGCTATGGTATTCCCTGTAGTCACCTACGGAATGTGAGAGCTGGACCTTAGGGAAGGCTGAGCGAAGGAAGATGATGCTTTTGAGCTGTGGTGTTGGAGGAAAGTTCTGAGAGTGCCTTGGACTGCGAGAAGATCCAACCAGTCCATCCTCCAGGAAATAAAGCCCGACTGCTCACTGGAGGGAAAGATACTAGAGACAAAGTTGACGTACTTTGGCCACATCATGAGGAGACAGGAAAGCCTAGAGAAGACAATTATGCTGGGGAAAGTGGAAGGCAAAAGGAAGAGGGGCCGACCAAGGGCAAGATGGATGGATGGCATCCTTGAAGTGACTGGACTGACCTTGAGGGAGCTGGCGGTGGTAACGGCCGACAGGGAGCTCTGGCGTGGGCTGGTCCATGAGGTCACGAAGAGTCGGAGACGACTGAACGAATGAACAACAACATCTGTATGGGAAGGCCCTTAGATAATGTGGGATTTTCTGCCTTGATATTATGGCATTCAGGGCCTTGTGGAAGAGCCCCCAGAATATCAAGGCAGAAAATCCCACAGTCTCAGTTTTGAACTGGGTTATCTGGGGCCACTTCCACACAGCTGATTAAAATCACCCATTTTCTGCTTTGAACTGGGATATATGGCAGTGTGGACTCGGTTTAAAGCAGATAATTGTGGGATTTTCTGCCATGATATTCTGGATTATATGGCTGTGTGGAAAGGCCCTTAGATAATGTGGGATTTTCTGCCTTGATATTCGGGATGATATGGCTGTGTGGGAAGGCCCTTAGATAATGTGGGATTTTCTGCCTTGATATTATGGCATTCAGGGCCTTGTGGAAGAGCCCCCAGAATATCAAGGCAGAAAATCCCACAGTCTCAGTTTTGAACTGGGTTATCTGGGGCCACTTCCACACAGCTGAATAAAATCACCCATGTTCTGCTTTGAACTGGGATATATGGCAGTGTGGAGTCAGTTCAAAACAGATAATTGTGGGATTTTTCTGCCTTGATATACTGGCATTCAGGGCTTTGTGGAAGGGCCCCTCAGAATATCAAGGCAGAAAATCCCACAATCTCAGTTTTGAACTGGGTTATCTGGGGCCACTTCCACACAGCTGAATAATTTTTTTTTGTATTTGGTCGTTTCCATATTCCCTGTATCATTCTCCTGTTTCACACTTCAGGTACTTTCCATGCAGCTGGATAAAATCCCACATTTTCTGCTTTGAACTGGAATATATAGCAGTGTGGACTCAGATAACCCAGTTCAGATATTGTGGGATTTTCTGCCTTGGTATTCTGGTTTATATGTCTATGTGGAAGGGCCCTTAGATTTGTCTTTCTCCACATAACAATGTTAATAATAATGGTAATAACAATCAATTTTACTTTAAAGTTAGATTCTGATTTCCTATTTGCATTAATTAAACAACGTATCTAAAAAGAAGGAAAATATCCTTATTTTGATAACAGTATGTATATATTTAAGGAAGATGTGAGGGACATTTGACTCTCCAAATATTTTGGATCACACAATCCATAGTCATTGGCCCATGTTGGATGGAAATATAGAGGCCAAAACCTTTGGAAAGTGAATGGTTCCCCATCTGTGGTTGGAGGGCCCTTCCACACAGCCCTTTGTACTGCGATCTGATCCAAGATTCAGGTAATTTCCTTAGGTCCTGACTATGGGCTCTTCCACACTGTCCTATATCAGGGAATATCAAGCTAGGAAATCCCACATCTCAGTGTGGACTCAGATAACCCAGTCCAAAGCAGATATTGTGGGATTTTCTGCCTTGATATTCTGGGTTATAGGGCTGTGTGGAAGGGCCCTGTGTCTGTGATCACAACTCATAAACGAACATTATTAATTTTGAAATATTGTTTCTTCTTTAGATGAAGTTATTCGCAAGCGACTTTTGATTGATGGAGATGGTGCTGGTGATGACAGACGAATTAATTTGTTGGTGAAGAGCTTCATCAAGTGGTGCAATTCTGGATCCCAAGAAGAAGGGTATTTTTCTATCTTATCAATAAATGGAAACTAAGTGCAGCCCATCAAACGCCAGTACTCTGTAATATCTACTAATGTTAAAGGGGCATGGGGATTGTGTCCAATGACATTTAGTAGTGGATTTTGAATGTGAAGTTTTTTACTGGTAGAGTATATTTCAATGAACACAAAAGAAAGACTCTTTTTCAGGAAAACAAATATTGAAATAGTGTAAAGGTTGTAATGAAATGTAAATGACTCTGAGCAAGTATCATACACTAGTTAATTAAGTATTTTGACATTTCCAAATGTACATTATTCCGCATTCTTTCTGGAATTATGAACCTTGATAATGTATTTTGCAGTTTCCACTGACTGTAGATAGTCATGTCCTGTAAATAAAGTGGCAGAGACGTGTATGCAGATGGAGCCCTCGGTGCTTTAAAATAATAAAATAAACCCTTGTGTCAGCAGGACTGAAGACCAACAGGTTGGAGGTTCAAATCTGGGGAGAGCACAGATGAGCTCCCTCTATCAGCTCTAGCCTCCCACAGGAATGATAAAACATCAAAACATCTGGGACACATCCTTTCAGACGGCCAGTTCTCTCACACCAGAAGCGGCTTGCAGTTTCTCAAGTCGCTCCTGACATGAAAAAAAATGTATGCAGCTGCACTGGGAATCCTAGAATCAAACCCCCAAGGATCTGGAGGCTCATGGTACTGAATGATATGATACATATTGACCATGTAGCATGACCAAGAATACAGTAGCTTTAGGAGAAACAACAAGAAATCTTAATAGACAAAATCTCTTTTAGGAGTCTTTACGTGGAATCATTTTCAGTGGCATAAAACAATACTTGCTGCTATTTAGTTTTAAAAGTTTCTCTATAAAATTTCTTTTATTGTAGTACTATTGGCAGTCCCCAAGTTGACCTAGGATACCTATCATTGAATGTCCTTTTATAAGAATCTTATTAAAAGGCTCTGAAGACCAAGTGTTTCATCATCGCATTGCGAGTCTACAGCATGAAAACATGCTTAATTTTTTCAAATTGGCAAAATTTGTAAAGGAAAAACAGACACACCTTAAGATTTCATAGAAAACTTTTATGTTATTTTAGATCCTTCCTTTTTCTAGAAAAAAGTGAAAAATGACATTATAGTGGTTGCAAACAATGATCTGATGTAGTGTTGATTGGACATGGCAATATTGCTTTAAAATAGCAGTCTACAAAGCTGTTGGGCAAAATCTAAAATATAGTTGGATTCAGCTGGTAATGGTGATATGAGACAAACCTCACCAGGAAAAGAAGATCTCAGGAATATAGTATTATGTGAATCAAGAAATTGCGTTAAACATGAAAATATAGCATATTAATTTATTAATGCAATCTCTTTATGTTATAATTTACAGTGTTTATTGATTAATACCAAGCCTATCTGTATTATGTAGTTATAGTCATGCTTCAGAAATACAAGCAGTGGAAATTTATTCAATGTGAAATGTAAACATCTTAGAGCTGTTAACTAATGATTTGTTTTTAGTATATTATTTATTGTTTGGTTAATGATCAATGGAAGCATTCAGTTCCAAGTAGATTTGAAATTTACATATTACATGAAGACTGTTTATTGGCTTCACTTTTCTTAAGGCCGAGATTCTAAAAGCAGTTCAAGTATGTACTTCAAATTCCCCATTGATGAGAGAAATAAGCAGTTTAATGGATATTGTGCAAGTGACATGATCTCACGGCATTGAAAATGAAGCTTCTCTGCTGCTTTGAACCACAACATGATGGAGAATCCAGTTAGAAATATAGCTTTAGATATGTATAGAAAATGATCTAACAGAGACATTGAGCTTGCTGCATTACTTCATCGGTTGCTGCTTCCTCTATGGTACTTCCTCTAGTCAATTTTTTGTAACTTAAGAGTGCAGTCATATATTCACTAACCTGAGAGTAAGTCATTGATCTCAAAGAGATTTCTGAATAGATCAGAATAAAGTCACTGTCAGACTACAAACCATATGTATATACTGTACATATGGAATCTTAAGGGCGCATCTACATTGTATAACTAATGCAGATTGACTCCACCTTCATTGCTATGGCTCAGTGATATGAATCCTGGGATTAGTAGATGGTTCTGCAAATAATTAGGCACATACATTGGGAGCCCCAGTGGCACAGTGGGTTAAACCCTTGTGCCGGCAGGACTGAAGACAGACAAGTCTGAGGTTTGAATCCGGGGAGAGCGCAAATGAGCACCCTCTGTCAGCTCCAGCTCACCATGCATGGACATGAGAGAAGCCTCCCACAAAGATGGTAAAACATCAAAAACATCCGCGTGTCTCCTGGACAACGTCCTTGCAGATGGCCAATTGTTTCACACCAGAAGTGACTTGCAGTTTCTCAACTGGTTCCTGACATGGAAAAAAATGGGATTGAACTGGGAATGGTCAGGATATGTTAGAGATATTTTTCTCCCTCAACCATTTTCTGTAACAGAATGTATAACAATAACTAGGCAGTTTTGTGCCTAAATTATTATGCGAAGGAATAGCATACAATGCATTATTAAATTTGTAATAGTTGCTCTGGGGACCAGAGCAGTTGCTTTCTATCTCGCTGGAAACATGCTCCTCCATCCATTGCTGAGAGTCTGGGATAAAGGAAAAATTCCTCTTTCTTTTGCATTTATTCCCTTCCTGCAATGAATTGATACAATTTAATGTGGATATTTGCAAAATAAAAAGTGGATTGTTATAAGACATTGGTGTTAACTGCCATTAAAAAAAACACCCACCTCTTATTTCAAAAAAGTAGCAAATACAGAAAACACCAGTTAGGATCAAGTGCTTTTAAAATTGAATACAGAAATAATTTTAATTTATATTAATTGGCACCAAGGTTCACTTCATGGCAGAGCCTCTAGAAATCATTGCAATGTATCCATGTGAACTTATTGAAATGCATTAATACAATAATTCCCTTCTCTGTTCTTTTAGTTACACTCAGTACCAACGCATGCTGAGCACCCTGTCACAATGTGAATTTTCAATGGGGAAAACCTTGCTTGTTTATGATATGAATCTGAGAGAAATGGAGAACTATGAAAAAATCTACAAAGATATAGGTATATAACTGATTCCCTATTGAATATTAGTCCGCTATGTTAAGTTCGGCTTTAGAAAAAGAACAAGCAGTTCAAGATTAGGTGCCTTTTTAATTATGCAAAGTGCCAGCTATTCTTGCCAGAATGTTTTAAAGTACACAATCTTCATGGTGTTTAAATTGACACCTGAAGCTGCAACTGTAATGCCAGGAATACCTTCTTATTTTGTTTGGGAGCTCCAAACAAAATAAGGTGATTCTGAGGCTGGCTGCTATTATTCATATGTAAATATTCTCTTATTGGATTAGTCCTGTGTGTTGTGTGTAGAAGTGAGTTTGAAAATAGGTTTCAATTCAGAATACTATGATGTTACTAAATGTAACTGGGTGGTCTGCATATTTTGCCAGGGCTTTGCCAACTTTATTGGTTTTTAGTTCATAGTCCCAGTTTTTAGGTTTAAGGTTTTGTTCCTTTATGTTTCCGTGTGGACCTTAAAGTCTTATGAGGTCTTTTATTAGGAAAATGAAGAAGAGGAAGGTTCTTTATAATAGTAACATCCTGTCTACAAAATGCCCTCCCTGCCACTTACATTAATGTCATTTTGGCACAAGTAATATACTTTTTCATTTTCCCAGTCCTTCTAATCTGTTCTGTTTCTAATTGGTCTCATCTTGCCATTATTTTATGCTACTATATTGGTATAAATCTATCCACTCTATGTCTGGCATTCTAAGAGAAATATTAGCTTCAGCACTCTGACAGTAATTATAGTATTAGAATAGAATAGAATTAAACTTTCAATTTCTAGAAATGAAACTTTGAAACCAAGCGCTTGTACAATATTTCCACTTATGGTACAAATTGTCATCAGTTAATAAATAAGCATTTTGACACTTACAGATTACTGTCAAATCACTTTTAATTGTATTTCTTTTGAAAGAAAATAGCATAGAGGCAGCACACGAGAAGATTGCCGAATGTAAAAAGCAGATTCTTCAGGCAAAAAGAATAAGAAAAAATCGCCAGGGTAAGAATTTGTTTACAGTTAACAATTATTCTAGGAAGGAATATATAATAATATTTGGTGTTTGTGGTGAGGGTTCTAAATAGTTCTGATTATTTCCATTTTTAGTTGTTAAGTAATGACAGAATATGTGTCTTTTCTACTGGCAGTGGCAGAAAATAACATTATGCAATGTTGGATCAGGCTACTAATCTGTGCATAATGTGGAACAGATTTCAGTGTAGACTGATGAAATGGTTGGTGATAATGGTCATAGTCATGCAAATCTAACGTAACTTGGAAATCGATGTCTCATACAATTGAAAGGTGGGAGCCCCTCATAAGGAGGATATGTGTGTTCAAAGGGGAGATTCAGGTAAAAGTGCAACATAAGAAAATACTAGCAATTGGGCAATTGCCCTTTGTTATAAAGTCAAGGAAGAAGATATTGTTATGCAAGGTAACTGAACCATTGACTAATTTATTTCGTACACTTCTACCCCGCCCTTCTCCCCACAAGGGGGACTAAGCATTGGTTGTCCTAATAATATGTTTTTAAGTATGTTCCTCTGCTTCTGATTGCCTATTGTTTCAAAACCTGGGTATTGGACAAACTGTAAATGTACATTGAAAATTAAGTGAAATAATAGTTTGGTATGCTCTGTTGAAATTAAGCTGGGTGTGATTCTGATCACTTAATTTTTTTCAGAATATGATGCTTTGGCTAAAGTAATACAGCACCATCCAGATAGGCATGAAACTCTGAAGTAAGTATGAGTTTAGCAAGTGATATAAAATAATATGCTAATAGTTTATTAGAGATGCAGTGATATTTTTATTAGACAGTATAAGCTAAGGATTGCTGATGCACAAACAATGGATTACAATAATTTGCAAAAATCAGTATAAAAAGTAAGAATGCTCTCGCCTGCTAAAGTAGGCTTTAATAATTATAATGACATTGATGACATAGGCCTGCAAAACTGAGGGTTATACATTTAAAAAATATTTATATATACTGGTTTTATTTTTTAAAATTGTGTTCTAAATCCAAAAAATGACATCAGATTGGCTTCATTAGGTAGAGTTTTTATCACAACTTGCTTTGATGCTTTTATTTCGTAATGCACTACTGAGTAAGATTTCTTTGTGGAATAAACAATAAGAAAGGTGTTAAAATCTTCTAATTGACTTTAAAGACACTTTAATTTGATAATATGAAGCTCAAAAATCTGTTTGAAAGCAGTAAAAGAAATCTCACTGGAACATCACAGAGTCTATACTTAAAACCAAGGAACAACTGAATTGATAAAAATACAAAATTTGTGAAAGAAGTTTGAGTGGTATGACATTTTTATTGTGTTTTAAAATAAAGCACCCAAAATACACTAAAACAGCTACAATATTGAACAAGTTTTTTCATTGCAAGCTTGTGTAATCACTGTCAGTTGTAATCAGGCAAAGACAGACAGCACAGTCAAAGTTGCCTCTGGTTGTCCTATTCCCTCATCTGTTCTTTCGGATCTGAACGGCTGGGCTGTGTTTTTCTGGCAGAAATTCTGCTTCTGGGATAGCCCCTGCTTGTTGAATCCAAGAATTCTGAAAAAAAATGTTCTACGCACCGTCATCTGTGACAGATTCTGCCTCAGTGCAGGTTTCTCTGAAAGCTTGCAGTCAGCATGTTGTCAGTTTATTCATTGAGCCTTTTCTGTGGTTAGCTAGGTTTCTCTTTCCCACTAAGGATCACTCCTGAACAGTGCTATGATTGATGAAATTGTAGATACACAATTTTATAGTAGCAGAGATAGTTCTCAGTTCCTTTATTTCTCAACATGTTGGTATATGCAATCAATTGCAGAAAAAGAGATAATAGCACCATTAAGCATAGATACTCATACCAATATATGGATATTATGCAAATTTATCTCCTATGACAAAATATTAGCAAACCAAGGTTACATCTCTTAGGCTATATACCAACCAGATCTGTTCCTCAGGCCAATGACAAATTTTCTAGTAATAATAAATGTGAGGTATATGTTAATTTTCCTTATAAGACAGTGTATAAATGTGTGCTGGCATGATCAGTACATACATTCAACTGATCAGCCTAATTGTCCCAGTGTGCTTTGACTCATCTATGTAAACACCTGTTGTCCTCTGTCTTCCCTTCTACAGATGAGCTTGCTTACTCAGGATGTGTGGTACCAGTTGTGAACTGCTGCCTTGTTTCTCTTCCCCATTATTTTTAATGAGGATGACCATACCTCTTATCTGTTAATCTCTTGGCAGATAGCACATTAGAGCTTGGTTGAGTGAAAGGATAGTTTCACAGTTCATGCTTTTCATGGCTATTAGCTTTTTTCCACAGAATGATCTACTTCAAGTAGTCCCTACTGAGCAATGTTTGCCACAAATTCATGAGATTTGTAATTTCCGTTGCCTTCTGGGATTCCTGTAATGCTGCCACAATCATAATTCTTTCTTGTTGCTTCCTCTGACATGTAGAAAAGAGTTGAGTGCAGTTGTAGAAAGGGCTGGAGCCTGCATCAGGACCAAACTCTGTTACATGCGGAGCCCCAATTTGGGAGGTGTTTAAGCTCAAGTTGTAGTAAGTTTAGTCAGTCCAAACAAGTCTGTACTCCAAATTCTCCAGATGTTTTGACTGAATTGTTTCCCTTCTGTAGTAGCTTAGCTTTTCAAAGCACAGTGAAGACTTTCTTGACATAAGGTATACCTGCTGAAAGAACTCCTGGACATTTTTAGTAAATTAATTTGTCTTTATCTCCTAATCATATTTATTTTCTGAAAATTCTATGGGTATATCCAGAACCTCATATAATGACACGTTGGATGAGTTTAAATCATTGAAGAGGAGAGTAAGGTATCTACAAGCCTTCCGCCTATATGTTAGCTTCATCTTGGCTTGTAATATACAGCAAGAAAAGCATAGCCACTTCTGTGTCCAGGACAATATGGGGTTTTTTAAGGAGAAGGTTCATCTTCAGCAAAATAATGATGGTGGTGGTGGTGGTGGTGGTGATGATGATGATGATGATGATGATGATGGTGATGATGGTGATGATGAATTTATTATCTGACTCTGCTTGCGATTCAACATGGGATACAGCATGATTAAAACAAGATAAAACACTACAGGCAGTCCCCAAGTTACAAACAAGATAGGTTCTGTACGTTTGTTCTTAAGTTGAATTTGTATGTTAAGTCAAAACAGGTACATTTTTAAAATGTAACTCCAGCCATATATGTGTTTGCGCGCGTGCGCTTTGGATAGTAAAGGAAAGGGTTAACACCCTCGTCGTGTTTGCTTTGCTGTCTGTGCCCTTGTTCAGAAGATTTCACCTCACTTTCTGTCCCTTTGTTAACTGGATTTTGAAAAAAAAATGGCTTGTGGAAATAAGGATTGGTATAAAGCTTCAGTGGAGACCCCTTTTCCCCATGATAACTCTTTCAGGGGTAAATTTCCCTTCCAAGGGGTAGATTTCTCTCACTTCCTGTTGTCTCCCCCTTGTTTTTAACTAGGAGTCATTTGTAAGTGGAATATTTATAACCTGGGGGACTGCCTGTATTAAAAAACAGACAATAAAATACACAGAATTAAAATACAAATTAAATCCACTAATAAATAATGAGCTAACTCCTAAAGACTTCTGAGCAGGGTGCTTGATGGTTCAAGAGCAACTCTAGTCATCCTTAAATTACAATGGTGGTGCAGAGGGACTACAATGCAGCCGTACTGTTCATTTGTTTAGTAGATTTTTAACCTGTATTTCAGGTTTATCTACTTTCCCAATGCAGATTAAAGGGTTTATTTTTTAATTCATAATGTATTTATTTGTAAATATTTTAAATAGTGTAAAAAGTTTAATCATATTCTATTTTAATTGTATTATTTTAAAGTATTAGGCACTTTGAATTGTTGTTGTTTCCTTTGTATCCTGCTCTAATTTTAAATGTCTCAAGATTGTAAACAGTAAAATCAGGGTTTAAAAACACCAGCAATAAAACAGCAAACAGTAAACCTTAATGTACAGTTTAAAAGCACATTAAACTGTATAGTAGTTGAAAATTCTTTTACAAAGTTAAATGCATGTGTGTGTACATGTTAGAGAAAGTCATTAGATCATAAAACCGCAATCAACAGCTAATAACGTTTTAAAATTGGAGATTATTAAAATAGCAGCAATAGAATATCATGAAAATTTTCAGCAGCAGAGAAACCTCACATTCTAACATTGTGTTTGCTTTCACTTGCTTGTAACCAGAAAGTTTTTATAATGGACCTTTTGTTATTGACTTTTTCTTTAGTTTGTATAAAGTAAAGTTGTTTTTAATATATTTTGATATTTATATGGAATTGTATGACTTCCATCCACAGCAGAAAAGGCATCAGAAGTCAGAGATAGAATGTCTACTGTCAGTTTCAAACCTCAGGACAATGTGGTCCTGCAGATAACCTGGGCTCAAAATGTTCAGGGCTTTCAGGGATAATGTTAAATGATACTTGAAAGTAAGTAGCAGTGGATGTAATCAGCAAAAAATAAAATTAATGTAATCTAAATGATTAGCTCGTAAAAGCATTCCCACTACTGTGTTTTGTAGCAGTTGGTGATTTGAAGACAGTGTTTCATAGAGGATATTATAATGGTGTATCGTGTCCATATTCAACTGATGTCACATGGGCAAAATGGGCAAAATAATTCAAATGAACATGAATTCAAATTCTAGTGTTCATTAATAAAATATTATGTTTTCAGGCAGTTAGAGGCACTGGGGAAAGAGCTGCAACATCTTTCACATATCAAAGAAAATGTTGAAGACAAAGTAAGTTTGGTTCATGTGTATATTTTGGTTAATGTATATATATTGATATACAACTGCTCATTGATACAGAACATCAGGAAGTTTTGAAGGAAGATTTGAATCTAGTGTGCCATCAAACCTAATGCGCACCTCAGTTTTCAAGACCCTGAAACCAAAAAAGAATTTGCAGCAGCAAATAGTATACTCTCTATTTTGTTTCCAAAAGGTGTGTGTTACAGTTGCAGTGTGCTTAGAATTCCTTCTTTAAAATAAGTGTTAGATCACTAAATCTTCCAGCAGTAGAAAGTAACACCAGAGAAACAGGAAACCCTTGATTGGAAGGAAAGGAATACAGGGAGAAATTGGAAGGAAGGAAGATGAAAGGAAAAGAAAAAAGGAGGATGAGAAGGAAGAAGAAGATGGATGGAAGATAAAAAGAAGGGAAGAAAAGAGGAAGGAAGAAAAGGAAAAGATAGGAAGAAAGGGAGGGAAGAGGAAAAAGGGAAGGAAGGAAGAAAATGATGAGAAAGGAAAAGGAAAAAAAGGATGAGAAGGAAGAAAGGAGAAGATGGGTGGAACATAGAAAGAATGTAAGAAAAAAAGAAAGGAAAGGAAGGACAGTGGGAGAGAAGGAGGAAAAGGTGGAAAGGACATACAGAAAGTTAAAAAGGAAAGGACAGAAAGAAGGTTTTAAAAGGTTAAAATCAGACAGATCTAGCTGTTTCTCTGCTATTTCTCAGAATAGTAACTTTTGGGTCATTGGATTTCTGATTAATTTTATAGAAACTGGAATTACTAAACTTGTTTTAATTTGGAAATCATCCACTTTGGGCACCTCCAAATCTGCCTTCTAAACACCTCTGTAAAAGAAGATAACTAAGGACATGCCATTTTCTTGTTAAAACTAAGCTAATATCACAAACACCGTGCCTGCCTTCCACTCTTCACGCCACTCTACCAGAGAAAAGGAGGAGGAGTGGGTGCATGGGGAAATGGCCGGAGAAGGAAAGGAGTATTGTTTCTCCTCTGACTCCCAAATTGGGAAACTGGAGAAATAGCCAGGGAGGGAAATGGATGCTATTTTCTCCTCCATCCTCAACTTGGGAGACGAAAAAGAAATGGCTGAGGAAGGCACCATTTATCATTTTTGCTTTGCTTTGTTTTAGCTGGAACTGAGACGGAAGCAGTTTCATGTTCTTTTAAGCACCATCCATGAACTTCAGCAAACACTGGAAAGTAAGTTTTTCCTGGTTTATAAAGTTATCTTGTTTTCTTTTCTTATAGGTTCCATTTCCTCTAAACCTCAACCTATGGGTCCCCAGGTGTTTTGGCCTACAACTCCCAGAAATCCCAGCCAGTTTAGGATTTCTGGTAGTTGAAAGCCAAAACATGTGGGGACCCACAGGTTAAGAGCCACTACTCTAAACCATAATTTTGATAATTCAGAACATTACTTGCATTTATGTGGTCTTGTGTCTGATCTCTCCTGTTATCTTTGTAATTTACCTAGTTTATAATGATAAATTTTAAAGTATGGTAAAGGAGAATGAGAGAAACACAGACTTTCAATGTTGTGCTGTAATAGTGTGTCTGCAGTAAACAATCCCAGATCTATTAATTTGTTCAGTAAAATGGACAAAAAAAAAACAGAGCCCAGTAAAACAAAAGTCATTTCTAGATATATTTTGGGAAAAGACTTCAAGTGGTATTTGGAAAGTTTAAAATGTTTTAATTTCCTTATGCAAGGTAAAGTTGATCTTGCTATTCCATTTCATGCATTCATATTGTTATTTTTGGATAACATTAAATATTGCACTCCTTTTCTTCTTGGGGTGGGAGGTGGTATAAGAATCTGTCTTTGCCATGTTAGTTCTGACTGGTACCAAATTTTCTGTTAATGAAGGCATGCCAAAGAGCCCATCTCCTTCCTTAACTGTGGAATACCTGTATTTATTTCAGATGATGAGAAGCTTTCAGAAGCAGAAGAATCTTCAGATACTCCAATAGAAGCAGAAGATAAAAAATAATCACCCTCAACTCAGCTCAGAACTTAGATTTCCCTTTTCCTGAAGCTGATGCCAAATTAGGAGGGTCTAAATTTAGTTTAATTTTCCTTTTTGTTGCAAAAACAAAAGCATGCATCAGTTGGAGTAATGTTTGACATACTTTAATGTTTGACATACTAAGTTACTTTTTATACTGTAATTAGAATTTAAGAATAAATAGTTCAGTTTTGGATTCACACTGAACGGTAGTATTGGTGTTCTAGAACTGGGATATACCGGTATGTTTTTAGAGTGTTACTAATAAACAAAATAACTCTTGTTATCTGAACTCATTAAAAATGTGAATGAGCAAAATTTCAATCTGGAAGAAATTTTAATATACAAATGGTTGAGATTTTTACAATAGCATTGTAATGTATCTTTGTCATTTCAAAGGGGGTTAACAACAACATTTGCAAGGGAAGCAAATATTTTTCAATTTATGCTTCTTTGTTGTCTGCAAGGAGACTTTTTGAAACTGCTTAGAGGACTGGAGAATCTTGTCTCCCAAAGACTCACACTGCTGCAGTTCTGCACTTCTCAAAGCTAACAGTTGTATCGATTTTTCAGTGATGTTATCCAACAGATTATCCACCTAGGGAGAAACATATAAAAATGGGCAGTGTAACATGGCTAATATATTTGAAGTGAAAGAAAGATAAAATAATTCATTCAAAGAGGAGCGTTGTTTTAAACAGGTAGTAAAATATAAACTAGAGACAATACGATGGATGTTCATCATGAGACTAATAATGCCAGGTAGTACTAAGAATATGAGTTGGATTTCTCTCATCAAATTTCACATCAATTAATTTATTGAATGAGCAATCATATGTGAGTCCCCACTCATCTTCAACCATTTGTACTTTGTGCAGAGAGAAATATGATTATATATGACAAGTTGTAACCTTACATTCTGTTTAGAGGCACATCGGTTGGGATAGAAATAGCCACCTTCTAGTTTGATGGCAGTCATGGATAAAAGATATATATATTACACCAGTGATTCTCAACCTATGGGTCCCCAGGTGTTTTGGACTACAACTCCCAGAAATCGCAGCCGGTTTACCAGCTGTTAGGATTTCTGGAAGTTGAAGACCAAAACATCTGGGGACCAGCAGGTTGAGAATACATATCATTAATAGCTTTCGTAGAAGAAGTCACATGTCATAAATACAAAATAAGCTGTTAGGTACCTGTAGTAGAAAGAAAACTAACCGCATGGGAACAAACATCTGTTAATTAGCACTTTATATAAGAAATTAAATTTGAAGGCCAGGGCAACTTCTGGGACTTTGAAATACTCCACAAAACCTAATAGCTATTTCTGGATGTCCAAACTCTGCAGAGCAATACTGACACAATGTAAGGACTGCAGCCTATATTGACCAAGAAAAAGTTTATAGCACGGCGCAGTCCCAAGTTTTCCTTTTACTGCCTTCTATGTGACATTTCATAAAAGATGGGTCTGAAGAAGAAAGGACACCGCTCCATAACCGAAAGCAACATTCAACTGTTCCAGAGTGAATTTACTGTGAGTTTCTAGGCAATGCTACCATCAAGTAGAATGTGGCAGCTACCTAATTTAGTTTTCTGTTTCAGGCAACAATACTGAAATGCAAGATAGTACCATTATTGAATTTTTAATTTCTTTCAGCCCTACATAGGCATCTTGAAATTTAGGGAGCAAGGGTTGTTTTCTCAGGAAGTGAAGTGTTTTGGACTGATCTTGTCTGGCTATCAACACAACAAATTGAGTAGGACTCACTTTTAAATATGGCATTTAGAACAGGGTTCCTAAATGGTAAGTCGCACTGTCAAATATGTGGAAAGAAGTATAGATAGGAAGAGAAATGTCTGTTGCATGCTACAATTAACACATTATTTTAAGATACCTGCATTTGAAGGTTCTCAAGTGTGACATCTGAACCATACCACACTGATGGCATGCTTTTTTTCTTCCTTTTGAACAATGCAACTTTTTTACTTTTTTCCAGATACGACACCTATAAATCCTATGAGAATACATTACATACAGGGAACGACATTCTGTTTCCACATGATCAGGGGCTTTCTAATGATAAAATGCTAGAAATGAGCTGCATGTTCAGGAAGGTCCTATTACACATACTAAGTTTTTCTGTCATAATAAATGGAGAGCCCTTTCAGTTCATGTAACTCCTTGCATTCTATCAGTAGTCTTCAGAGCAAGCTTGAGGTACTTCATTTGTACTGTCAAAGGTGACATTTATTAAGGGCTAAACTCAAATGCCACATGGCAACAGTGGGCTGGATCACAAACACATGTATGGTGGAACCTGCCAAAAGGGAAAGGCATTTGCAACACAATAGACCTCCCCTTTCCTGTCTATCCCAGACTCTTTACTACCTCAACTTTATAACAGGTATGCATCTCTGTGTCTTTAAGTCGCCTGTCGGCGTATGGAGGTAATTTCACGAATTTCATAAGTTTTTATTGTGCAAGGAATATTTAGAGGCACCAGTTTCTCCTCTGAGATTCCAACAACAGTACGTAGCATTCATCATCGCATCATAGGTGAATACTCGTGGCCGAGTATGATTGTCTTCCAAAGGAAGAGTCTTGGCAATGGGTTGGAACGACTGAAGGGGTGTTGGATATAGATCCACCACCCATGTGCCGCTCCATTGCTAGGCTTCCAGATTTCACAACCCCCCCCCCCCCCCCCCCCCCCCGGTCACTCACCAATTGCCATGGGATTTTTGTGGGGTTTCCTTTGCATGGAAGATCCCTGTGCATGAATTTGTTTGATCTGTGGGGATCGGTGCACAATGACCAATCTTCTCAGGAAGAGGTTCTAATCCAATGACATGGATACCATGATGATTGGTGGGCTCTCATCAGTTGCAGTCTCTGTCCGTCTTCACAGCCATCATAACATGCACCTGGTATTCATTGGTGATGGCTCATCCAACTACTAACTAGAGCTGACCCTGCACAGCCTTCAAGTCAGGTGGGATTTGGTCCTTTCAGTAAAGATGGCACACATGGAATTATTTAGGACTACTTGTATTGCTTGTATTGTTATTGTTATTGCTTGTATTGTTGTATTTTGGGCTCGGCCTCATGTAAGCGGCACCGAGTCCCCTGGGGAGATGGTAATGGGGTATAAATAAAGTATTATTATTATTATATGAACCTAGGTTTCAATTTCAAGCTACTGTTAAAAATTGGAGTTTCATATCGAGTTTGAGCACTGAGTTTAATTTTCTTTGGCCAAGGAAACCCATTGACTGGCCTTGAGCAAGTCACACATTCTAAGCCACAGTAGAAGGCAATGGCAATCCCCTACTGAACAAATCATGCCAAGAAAATTTCAATGATACGTTTGCCTTTGGGCCTCCATAAGTATTGGAAGGCATATAACAACAGCACTTCATTAAGGGTCCTTTTCCCCTTAATCGTTAAACACAATTAAAATTCTGTTTGTAGCTATAATTTATTAATTCATTAAAAGATTTCTAACTGCTTTTCAGGACATCAATGTCATTTTGATTATAAAATGGAGGCAAAAAAATAATTATGATTGGAGGAACATATTTATAAAGAGTTGCTGTGAGTTTTCCGGGCTGTATGGCCATGTTCCAGGACGCCCACATCTATGGCAGGCATCCTCAGAGGTTGTGAGGTATACCTGTCATAGATGTGGGTGAAACATCAGGAGAGAATGCTTCTGGAACATGGCCATACAGCCTGGAAAACTCACACTAACCCTGTGATTCTGGCCATGAAAGCCTTCGACAACATATTTATAAAGGTTTCCTTTAAATACTAAAGTTAATATTTGAAGTAGGGAGGTTTAACCTATAAAGTGTCATGTTCACAAGAAAGTCAAATCTGTATTGTTAAGGTATCATAAATGGAGAACGGAAATGGAAGAGATGGCAAACTCCATAGCCAACTCCTGGGTCTCTCTCAAGGTATTGTTTGTATTCTATGGATGCGGGCTTGGTCTGATTCAGCAGAGCAATTTTCAGAGTCCTTGACACAAACAAACTAATAGGCTTCTTGGTTATGTTATTCCCTGCACTCCTTTTATATATACATAAACATACCCATATACATTCCGTTAGGTGCTGTGAAAACATTTAGCTTTGTTTACAAGCAAATAAAAAGAGAGAATGCTAATTCCAGATCTGACAAGCAGAGGGCAGCAACAGCCAAACAAATTGATTTGGCAGATCCTAGCTTTCAGCTTAGAAATCATCTGTTAAAAAGGAAGCCAAGCTCTATTTCTCAAGCATATCTTAAGAAAAGGATCTCTTTAAATGTTATTTTTTAAAATGTAGGCCCAATTTACTGCAACTTTGCTTTCTAATCCACTCTTCCTGGTTTATTAACCTTTTCTCTCATAGGTCAAGTGGTTGTATGATGGAGTGTATACTAATCAAAAGACATCTGCATTGTATTAACCTTTATGCTTCTGTATTTAGCAAAATAGTTGCACAACATAAATGAGATCAAGAGCTCTAGAAACAAGAATCATACAGGCAGATGATCCTTCAATCATAATTAGTTGCTCTTTTTGCTTCCTTCTCGTTCTACAATATCACTTTTGACATGAACCATTCTAAGCTGTGCAGAGATGAAGAAATAAACAAAATGTATGGAAGTTAACATTGAAGCTTTAGGTCAAAGCTGCGGAAAAAACACGACTGAAAAAAAAATGAAAAAACTAATTTTGTGCAAATATAAATTGTCTTGGAGATTAAGGTTTGTAGTGGATTTCCTTTCTTTCTCACCTTTCTCCTGGCATGGGACTCAAGGCAACATACAACAACACTAAGTATATTTGTTTTTTTCAACTTATATTTACAAATTTATAATATTTAAAATTTTGCAAATTTTATTTGGGGCAGGGGAGCTGCTGGTGTGGGGCTAACTTTGATGCTAGAGGGTATGTGACTGGTTCTCTGTTACAGTTCTGATAAGAATGGCTTCTTGGAGGCAGCTTTGCTTTTTTAAATGTATGTTTTTCTCGTAAGCCGCTCCGAGTCCCTTTGGGAGATGGGGCGGGATATGAATAAAGCTTCATTCATTCATTCATTCATTCATTCATTCATTCATTCATTCATTCAAAGGCACATTTGCTTTTTCATGGCATGACTGATTCGGCGTTAAGGTGCATCCATTTTTGAAAATACTGGCTGCCAATGAAAATATAGATATATCTGTGATTATAGTGGATGTGCACACATGGTGGTGATGGGTCTTCCCAAAACACAGATGACGTGGGGTCCACCTACAGTGTAGATTAAAGCAGTTTGACAATACTTTCACTGCCATGAGAGTGAGGCATCAGCACTCTTTGGCAGAGAAGGCTAAAAACCTTGTAAAATTACACTCCCATTATTCCATAGTATAGCATTGAGCCATGGCATCTTAAGCAGTGTCCAGCTGGATTATTTCTTTTTTTAAATTAATTTTTATTTAGACAAATAAATACAAAACCTATATATTGATTCAAAAATAAGCTAACTAGCCAACAAACAAGTTCAAAATATTTTTTTCCTAGAATAAAAGAAAACATATTACTACTACATTCTATACATCAGAAAACATTAACTACTTACAATCTACATTGTCTAATCTAAGGGTTTTACATTCTCTGTCTGATGGTTACATTCTCTCAGTTTTCTACACCCATTAAATGAAGAAAGAACCATTGATGCATCCTATCCCCATATAACAACACTCTTCTAGTTAAAAACAACAACAACGATGGAGGTTTGACCCAATCTTTACTGGAGGAACACAGTGAATGGGTTATGTTCTTTCTTAAAGTTAGAAATCTCTCCTTAATTAACATAAGTTTATCAATTTTTGCAAGTATGCTTATTTTCATAAGCAATCGTTGTTGAGTTGAGTCTTTCCATCTTTGAGCATAGATAATTCTTGCTGCATTGTTTCTACTGTGTAGATACACTCTTGGTAAGGCATCTTTGAAACTTAGAAAGGAAGCTTCTAAGGAGCATTTTGCAATGTGACATAGAGCCTAGAGAAAAGACAAGGACTTGCTGTGCCCCTGCCTTCTTTTGCATTTGTGTACACAGGAGGCCCAAATCCAGGTGGCTCAAAACAAAATAAAATGCTTGAAAACCATAAAGTGGAAAAAGACCTAGGAGACATGTTTTAGACTCCTGCTTCAGAAATCCTAATAATGAGTTTTATGCCTCTTCTTACAAATTGAAAACAGAGATTTTGAAAATGATATCACTAAAGTAACTGATTATTGTCTCCAAGTCCAAATCCTGTTGGGCAGCTGAACTTAAGAATTTGTACGGAGGCCAGGACAGCAAACTGGTGCAAAACAACAGACTAGGTATTTTTTAGGTGGTTTCAGAGACGAACGTGCTAGGATTTTAGATGCTATAATGCATGTATGGAACGGTTGACACAGATGAATGGGCTTTGGGCATTTACTTGTCACAGGGGTGAAATGCCCACTCCACTCACACTATAACAAATGGAACCAATGTACAGGCTGCAATTGAATAAACCTAGTAAATTCAATATTGTTTGTGAATTATCAATTACCTTTTGAATTCCGGGTGACAAGGACACCACCGAGATGCGCTTTGTCATCCTCGTCATACTTCTTGCTTCCACATTGTGTTGCTCCACGATGTTAACATCCAGCTGAACCGATGCTTCAAAAGAAAAAATGGGAAAGGATAAAGGAGTTCAATATAATCAGTTGTGTTTAGAAATGTGTTTCTTCCCAGTTAATTAGTCCAAACTAAAGGTTACTGTTTTATTATGGTGGAAACAGGATCCAAAGAAACCCTACGTTTTATGATCTGTACTGCAAGGGTATGGTTAGCAAATGTCACTTCTTCACAGTGCTGTAGTGCTGAGAGAAGCTATCATTCTAATGAAAAATGGATTTTAAGTTAAGGTGAGCATAGCCTTATGCTTGGTACCAAAAACAGCTGACCTCCCAAATTTTCAGATTTAACTTTTCCAGATTTGATTATTCACATATTTGATTAATATGGTCTCTCTAGGAATCTCTAGGTCGTCCAGTATGACCCTGTAGTCAATTTCTGTCAAAGACTAACCACAGGGTTATGCTGGAAGACATGAGGAGAGAACACTTTTCTAGGAATGTTTAGGTCCTCCAGCACAACTCTGTAGTCAACCTCTTGCAGAAGTTGACCATGAAGTCACACTGGATAACATAGGTTTTTCTACTTCCACAAGTATCCTGTTCCTATAATCCCTACAAATTTGCTCCAAAACAGATACATCTCGCAATTTTACACATTGCCATGCCCACCTCCACTCCAACTCTAACCCATTCTACGTTATGCTTAGCATAAGATTTCATTGGTCTCTGAAGGTCTGCTCCAACAGCAGCCAGCTTGTACAATGATATATCTGAGTCTAATGCACCATCAAAACTAATGCGCACACACCTCAATTTTCAAAACCCTGAAAGCAAAGAGAGCATTTGCTGCCAAATATAATGTGCAGCGGCAAAAAAGTGCACTCTCTGTAATTTGGCCAATTTTCAAAATCCTGAAACCAAATCCTACAACCGGAGGGTCAACCATGCTGCAGGAAGTTCATTACCATTCTGAGAGAGCTTCTTTCTTTTCAGTTTTGGAAATACTTTTGGTGAAGAGAATTCACAAATAATCTTCGGAAGGACCCAGTGCTTGTTTGTAATGGCTGCCGATCGAGGCATTAGTAGCTCTGTAGGATTATCAGTGCAAAACATGGTTTTCTTGCTTGCCTTTTGATAGAATGGGAACATTTTCCTCACTGTTGTCCTAAGGTGCTTCATAAGGCCTCTTTTGTTGCCCATGTGAAATTCAAGAGATGCAGAGTCACCGGGAAATTGTCCTTGAGGCATCAGTGTATTCCCTTTAGTAGGCACTACTCCTAGCAGCCTGTAAACAAATAAAAATAAATGACTTATTAATGCTTTTTTACAATGGGTGATGTATGCTATTCATTTGGGTTATTGTATTGTTATAGAACTGAAACATAGCTTTAACCTAGAGTTATAGTATACTAAACCTTTTCAGATTTTAGTTTTTGCAGTTGAATCCTTTGGGATATATTCCTTAAATTAATCCCAATCAAATCCATACCTTAAATTGAGGTTCTAAAATTAAGCATCTTTAGCTGCAATCTGCCATCTATTTTTAGATATTTTTTTTGCGGTAATAACATGTATTTATTTATTTACTCTGTTTATATCCTGCTTTTCTCTACCCCGAAGGGAACTCAAGGCAGCTTTACATATTTGATGCCTTTAAACAACAGACAATTAAATACATATAGATTAAAATGTAAAATTAGAGTTAAAATGAACATTAAAACATATAAAGATTATAATCACTGTCAAAATCACTATTAAAATCACGCCACCCACAGTCGTAATCCGGGGCCATTCCCAGCAACATTGTACATATTTCATAGTTATTTTTTGCACTGTACTTAATCTCCAAAGGCTTGACTCCAGAGCCAGGTCTTCACTTTCCTTCTGAAGGTCAGGAGGGAGGGAGCTGCTCTAATATCACTGGGGAGGGAGTTCCACAGCCAAGGGTCCACGACTGAGAAGGCCCTGTCTCTCGTTCCCACCAGATGCGCCTGTGAAGATGGTGGGACTGAGAGCAGTGCCTCTCCTCCCAATCTTAATCTCCTAGGTAGTTCATAGGAGGAAATACATTCATACAGGTAAGCTGGGCTGGAACTGTTTAGGGCTTTATAGGCTAAAGCCAGCACTTTGAATTGTGCTCGGTAGCAAACTGGCAGCCAGTGGAGCTGGTGCAACAGGGTAGTTGCATGTTCCCTGTACACCACTCCAGTGATCAACCTGGCTGCTATCCGTTGAAGTAATTGAAGCTTCCAAACAGTCTTCAAATGCAACCCCACATAGAGGGCATTGCAGTAGTCTATTCAGGATGTAACCAGAGCATGGACTACCATGGCCAAGTCTGACTTCCCAAGGTATGTGCACAGCTGGTGCACAAATTTTAATTGCGCAAATGCTCCCCTGGCCAACACTGAAACCTGAGGTTCCAGGTTTAGCAATAAATCCATTCACAAAAATGTAATTATTAAAATCACAATAAATTATTAAAATGACAATAAAAATGTAAGCAACACAAAAAAGAAGTCTCAATCCTTAGAAACAAACAAGCAGCCCAGAATATCAGCTCATGAAAACTATCCAAGCTAATAGACATTAGACAAATGCCTGCTGAACACAACATACCTTGAAGACCAAGAGATTGCTGATGACTCAGGAATATTTATATCTAGCATAAGGCATAAGCTAAGAATGATTGTCACTCACCTTTCAATTCCCTTTTCTTTTAGTTGGACCTTTTTCTTCAGACTTTGCTGTGTCCATCCACCCAGAGGTCTTCCCTTGCACCTTCGAAGAAAAAAGTATATTTTGTTGCGCTGCATGACTCCTATCTTTTAAACTAGATTCCAGATGTTGAACCTTTATAAACATTTGATAGATACTGACATGGCTCCTAGCTCATGTCCTTTCCTGAACCGGGATCTTTCCTTGCTGGGCAAAGATTCAGATAGATTTGGGTGTGAAATGGCTTGATTTATTGAGTGCTACAAGGTGGTAATAATTTGTCAGAGCCGTGGGAAATTCCACAATACTACAAGCTATTCCTTCTCACAGCCATGAGACATTTTAAGAATTCAGCCAACTCTTCTGCAATGAACAGAATGAAATCTCTTTCATTCTCTTATGTCTACAAGGCTCAAAACACCAGAGAGATTTGACATTCCTTAAAGATCATTATTACATTGGTGTAAGCTATTCTGACATCAATGAAGAGCTCAGCTACTTCTTGAATTCAAGCTTGTTCTCATTACCTGGTGTCTGACCTTCTTGTCAAGAGCCACTTCATGGATAGATGGAAGGTCGTCAGACAACAGGCATGCCGTTCACCCTTTGACTATATTCACAATCTTACCATTCTGTTGGAACTGCACTGTGACTTTATAACATATGTATCTGTTATCTGTCATGCTAGTGAAGTATTTCCTTTTACTGTTTTGCTTTTTCTGTTGTTGTTTTTGAATTTCTTCTTGTTTTCACATAATAATTAGCGGGATATGTCATTTGAAAAATTACGAACCACTGTGTTGTTTGTGTACTTTCCAATTGTCCTGATTTAGAAATGATATTCCTGATTAGTTCTCTATCATCTTGTTCTTCTCTGCTGCTTTTAAGCTGTCCCAGGGTGCATCTGCACTATAGAATTAATGCAGTTTGTCAATCCTTAATTGTCATGGCTCAATGCTATGGAATTGTGGGAGCTGTAGTTTTGCAAAGTCTTCAGAGTTCTTTGCCAAGGAGTACTATGCCCTGGTGGTGCAGAAAGTTAAACTGTTGAGCTGCTGAACTTGCTAGCCAAAAGGTTGACGGTTTGAATTTGGGGAGCAGCGTGAGCTCCCACTGTTAGTCCCAGCTTCCTCCAACCTAGCAGTTTGAAAACATGCAAATATGAGTAAATCAATAGGTACTGCTTCGGCAAGAAGGTAACGGTGCTCCATGCAGTCATGCTGGCCACATGACCTTGGAGGCTTCTACGGACAATGCCGGCTCTTTGGCTTAGAAGTGAGCACTAGCTCTTAGAGTTGGACATGACCAGACTTAATGTCAAGGGGAAACCTTTGCCTTTACTTTGCCTCATCAAATGACAGCTTCCAGGATTCCATAGCACTGAGCCATAGTAGTTAAAATGATATTATATGGCAACAATTCTATAGTGTAAATGGACCCTCGGTTTGTCTCTCCTCTGTATTCAGCTTACTTTCACTTCAAAAGTAGTTCAGTTAACTCAGTAACAGAGAAAGGAAAGGAGATAAGTTTTCAGGAGGTCCAGGTGAAATTAAAGTGAGGCAAAATTCTGGTGAATTATGAGAGTCGCACTTTTAAAAATTAGCAATACCAAGTTCCGAATGTTTGTAATTGCAGAGATAAAACTATTATTATATTCCAAGTGTGGACTTCTGCAGCAATAATGGAGAAATACATGTTCAGCAGCAGAGGGCAGCAGAGGATAAGAATATCATTTCTCTGCCTGAAGGTTTGGTCTGTGATATTTTTGGGGACTGGCAAAACGTGAACATATACTATGAAATAAACCAATTTATTGTAGTGTTACTTTCTGCTAAGTAGGATCACATACCACATCTTTTAAAGATATATCAGAATTGAATATATTCTGATCCTACCTATTCCTTACAATGCTTCGATTGTTTTTCCAAGGATGTCTGGAACAGTGGTTCCCAAATCTTTTTGATCATGAAACCCTTCAGAAGACAATTTCCCATTGCAGAATCCTAACCCTATCCCTGATTTTTACTAAGCCTTTTGAATCCATGATTCCCCCCCCCCCCCTTCTGTCATCCATTCCTACTGCCTGAGTATTTTGTATAACACAGTAGATTTGGAATTTTCAAATATAACTACAAACGTCTTGATACAAGAAAATACTGGCTATAACTACAAACCTTTATTTTGGAGCAAGAAAATATTGGATTCACACCTGATGTAATGAATAAAATTGTTTCATTTTGAACTTAAAATAGTTTTGCAATTGGGCTTTATGTCTGACAATTGAATACCGGGGCAGCATCCAACATACCGTTACATTTGTTTTTGGTGTGAGCATAAACTGAACAGCCTGATTTGCATCAATAGGTGGACATGAAGAGGAACATTGCTCAGATAACTTTTCTGGTTACCGAAGGCTATGCATCTATTAGTCCTACCCAAAAGTCATTCAGTGGCACGGATATAAATTTAGTTTTGAAAGCAGACGTGCATTGCATTTCAGTAAGATCTTTTATATTATGGCACAGACAATATATATGAGGTTTGTTTTGATTGACAAATGGGGCTTGTACCCACTTGATATCCCTATTGGTGTCTGAGAATTACCCCTTAAAATGAATATGTTAAAATTCATTTTAAAATTGATTTTTTTTTTTTGTGGAACTCCTATGATGCTTTTCTGGAATCCTAGATTTCCACAGAACACAGTTTGGGAACAGCTGTCTAGAAAACATATTATTTACAGCTGGTCTTTCGCATCCACAGATTCTGCTTCTGTAGAGTCAGTCACAGTGGGACTTGAGCATCCATGGATTTTGAATCCAGGGAAGCCCTGGGACCAAACCCTAGCACATGCCAAGGGCTCACTGTATATTGGAACACATTTCCTTGTGACATTCAAGTTGTGCTGACTTTTGATATCAGCAAAAGAAGAGTGAGCATGAATCCACAGGATCTCTCTTTTGTCCCAAGCACTCACTTTACTAAATGCACACTCAAACCTGGAAAACTGTGAGATAGGGCACCTGGGATGTATCCACTCTGTAGAATTAATGCACTATGGACACTACTTTAACTGTCTTGGTTCAATATTATGGAATCATGGCAGTTGTAATTTGGTGAGGTGGCAGCACTCTTTGCTTTCTACCGATGTATGTCTTTTTATGTATGGCATCTAATTGTTGCCGACTTGTACGCTGCCCTGAGTCGCCTTCAGGCTGATATGGGCGGGATACACATGTAAATAAATAAATAAATAAATAAATACCTTGTAAAATTACAAACCACTTGGTTTCATGGCATTGAGCCATGGCAGTTAAAGTATTGTGAAATTGTTTAAATTCTACAATGTAGAAATGCCCCTGGCCAGTGGGACAGAATCACTGTATAACACGTAATGCCACTTTTCTAGCCTTGCCTGATTGATCCTATGTGAAGAGAGATTTCCATTTCCATTCACAATTTCACCCAAACTGTTATTCATGTTGCCAATTAGATTTGCACTAGCAAAGTTTGCTGGCTGAATTCTATGAAACTGTAACAGGTGGCTTGACATTCAGGATGGGAGGGGTGTCTTGAATCAGATCCTATTCTTGTTAGGGGCATATCATCTCTGATCCATGGAGGGTAGTTATGAAAACCATGGAGCAGGATAATACTATAAGACAGTGAAAAGGAACATATTTAAGGAAACCTTGTGTTCTGGAATCTTTCTTCTGAATCTTGTTTTTACAAAATATTATCTGAAATATATGCATTGCTAGTTCTGCTTGAATTGAAGCAAAAGGAATCTGCTCACACTTCGCTGGCCTGGGTTGAGATTTTGCTTGCTTAGTGTCAACATTTGCCAATGATTGGCTCTCTCCTGAAATACCACTGTTATGTTGACAACAGGAGGGGAGAAAATCAGTGTCACATTTTAAAACGCTAACTAGAAATTGTTGCTGACTTTGGAAGTGAAGCTGACAAGTTTGTATGGGTCACTTGGAACCAAACTCCATCACTCAGACTGTTTTCCCTCTGATGTTGTGGAAGTATTTGGGTCACCCTTACTATCATAGGGAGTCAATCAAAGGCAATGCTGCACATGTAAAACAACCCAGGAGGGAATTTCTATTTCTTTCTCTCGATTTTCTTTAAACTAAACATTTTGATTAATTATCTTTGGCTGGATGCCACACAAGGTCAGTGCCCCCATCTTCTTCTTTCAAGGATTCTAAATTTGAATGTATTGTCTTAGCTTTATGTATTTTATGCTGTGATATGACTATTTAGAAAGAGGAATGTCTGATCTAAAGTACTGGTCATATGATAGAACATTCCTGAGTGACTGATTTCTCTAATCAGTTGGGTTAGCTGGAACACCTGCCCCTGTCAAATCTCCTGATGCCACTGGGAAGGAAAACTATTCAAGTTAGTAAAAAAAATACTGCACAAATGGAACAATCTGAATCCTCTGGAATTTTGGGAGTAAACAGGAAGACACATTTGTGATTTATAGGAATTGAGCAGGGCTTGTGAGGGGTCAGTACAAATTACTGCTACTGGCAAACATCTGGAAGATCCAGCTGTGAAAAAACAATCTCCAAGATTTAAACACACTCTTCACAATCCTGGTACTCAGCAGTAAGCTGGAATAATGGATTGAATGTTTGAGGGATTCCAGCTAATTGTCATTCTCAGCTTGGAGACCTAGGATGAAGAACTGCTAGAAGAGCCAGAGGAGAGACGGAGGCCTGCAGCTCCCAGCAGTCTGTCATGCCTACTTCAGCCACTGCTGAAGATAACCCCTCAGCTAAAGCAAGTCCTTCACAACATTCTGTAAGAACCCTGGTGAGTGATGCTGAAGCAAGTACATCTTGGCAAGACTTAGAAGGGCTAAATCTACACCCATAAAATGTCAGTTTCAGAAGGTGGGACATATCAGGTTTCATAGGTTATCTAAATATGCTCCTTATTCAGGCAGCAGCTAAGGTCCTGATCAAGAGCTATAAAAGGGCATTGGACTTGAGTTATCTAACTCAAGTCCAATGCCTGTTTGTTCCTGAACTCGGACCTGACTTTGAACCTAACTCTATTGCTATTCTGATTTGACTTCAAA